ATATTTCAAGCGTAAAATACGAAATATATACACTATCGATATGAAATATGTTTGAGGTAAGCCGCGATAAACAACAAATGCGGACAAAGTAAATATCAATTTTTAGAATATATTGTAAATCATGAGAAGTACCACAATAAATTGCTGAGAGACGAGAAAAATTAGTTGGTATTTTTTACAGTTCTGAATAAATAGTGTAACGCTGAAACTTGCTCGTCTGAATTAGCACTCGAAATTTATCACGTCGAAATTAAAACGTGGCGGACGATTAATTTATTTCCCCAATGGACCGTCTATTTAACCATTATTGAAGTTTTTATGGATGTTCACGTCGACGCAAATGAAATTATGCTCACAAATATCAATCGGACCATTTCAATTTGTTCGTTGCATTAATATATTATACACACAAATAACGCGCGATAACATTAAATCCGCTCAATTTTAATTAAATATTTATATTTAAATAGATATACAACAAATTTAAAATTATATCTGCTTTTGATGGGTAAAGATTAGTTACGCTCGGTTAAACAAACCTTTTTCAATTTTTAATCAAGAAGTCAAAAAAGAGATTTAATTTGAGACTTAGGTAAAGAAGGTAATTAAATTTTCCGTTCGAACGATTAATAATTACGCTCTGGAAAGATAAATCTCATCCGTAACCTCTATTTCTCGATCAAACCGTGAGAGTCATTTGAGTGCCAACGACGTGCAATTAACGTACGTCAATGTTGCTTGCGATTATTTCGTCAAAGGACTAGACCTGGGTCGCATTGTATTGTCCTTTGAGGCCTAAACGCATTAGTGACTGTATTCCCAAAGCTTCAGTTCTCTCGAATCTCTAGGTAGTAACCAAACAATGAGTAAATCGATATACAAGGTTGTAATTAAAGTGGAGATTTAAGTTCTTACATTTTAATCTTAGAAACACATTTTTTTCTCCGTCAAAATGAATTAAAACCTTTTTTAGAACAGAAGCAAACAATTGTATGTGGAGTATCATGACGTGGAATATCAATTTCTCTGTCTGCATCGTGCAATTTCATATGGAGTATCATTCGATGGTATGGGTTAAGTAAGGAACTGGCAACATGGAAATTTCGAAAGAAAATTGAAACGCAGAAACAAGCATAGAGTCCAGACAAAAAAGCACTAAACAATGTTCCAAATCAGAGAAGGAAAAGCGGGAGACCGGTGAAGATATGGATGACCATTTGAAAGGAAGAATAGCAAAAGAAGGGCAGAAAGGAGATAGTTTGGAGTTGTGGAAAAAGAAGGAAGAAGAAAGGAGAAGCTGAGAAGGAAAGAAGAGACCATCAAAAGAGAACAGAGGAGGGATTATGCATGAATATGTTGATTAATTTTTTTCTGGCAGATGTTACATTATGAAATAGATAGAGAAATAATACACACTTTAGGCCAGGAGGTGGTTAACCGTTTACTTTGATATTTCCTGATTGACATTGATGACACGAAGATTATCGAGAATGTGAGCACGGAAATAGAAAAACCAGGAGGAAGATGCACGCTTAGGAGCTTCTCGAGCCATTTTTCGATGATTGAAGAAAATAAAGTTCATTTTATGCCTATTGGCACCCAAGAAGAGTTAAGGAATGACAAAAGCTGCGTGATTCAAATCATGAAAAGGATTAAATTCATTTAAATTTTTTAATCATTTCAATTTAAAACAGATGGAAGGTATGGGTGGTGAATAATCGCGAACAGTTTCGCCTATTACGAAGTATCGATGCGGAATAAGTCGGGATGAACACTAATCCTAAGGATTACGACAGGCGCCTGTGCCCCGGCAATTAAGGAACGCGCCTCTCGTCCTCTGAAAGACAGACGTTGCAATTACTTTATCGGAAGCGTCTTACGTCCCGTATAAATCAGTTCTCGGGTACAAATTAACTACCGGGAATTCATTAGAGATCGATAGGGACACGTAATCCAATGTGGAGATATCCTACACCGAGATCCTTTTTTCTCGGGATTCGTACTCGGAAGATAAATCGCCCGTATTTCGACGAACCGAGTACCTACTTACGACCAGATAAGCATGTTGCTTCAAGAGATTTACTTTTCTTGTTTGTGATGTTGTTTCACAAAAAATTATAAAAAAAATTTTCATTTTGTGGGAGATAAAATTTTATTAAAATAAACCAGACGATATACACTTGGGGTAAAGACTATAAAGAGTGGTGTCATTAAGGGAAGCAAACGTAATTACGGAAACTGCACGTTCAAAAGCTGATAACCGTTCCTCCGAAAAGCTAGAGGAGCTCGTTTCGTGTGTACAGCGGTCATTTACATAACTCAAAAACTTGGTGTGCGGGGAAAAGGGTTTCTCTCCACGGTCCTGCTGGAGGGTAAATTGATTCTGCAGGATGCGATATCGGCTATAAATTGCTCTACCCCGATCGAAACGATGATATACGTTCCGTTCGGATCCTGTTGTTTAGATCGGACGCTTAATGGACCGCGCGTTTGACCGTATACAACCCCTAGATATACATAGATCGGGTTGTGACCAGTTTAAACCGAGTTTATCTCCAGAAATGCAACGGGTTTACAAATAATTAATTTTATTTAACTTGGTAAAGTTAATCTCGCCGGCAACGATCCAAGAGGTTTCCACGAGCTTTTTGCAACCTCGCGGCAATTAAATAAACTTCTTGAGAGGGGCGTAGTCAACTTCGCACTTCAGTAACGACTACGTTGTTTTGTAGCAATTAAAAATGTTCACGGTTGATATACGCGCAAAGATTTGGATACAAACTTAGAAACAATTATATCAAAATACGATAACCCCATTTAAAAGATTTTAGTATAAACTTAATCTAAATACCCGCATATTAATCTGAATAATTCATGGTGTTTGAGATATTTAATAAGTTATAAGCTTCGTAAAACTGCCGCGCACTCGTAAAGTTTTTACCGTATTGGATATTAAAAATTCGAGGGCATTAAACTAATTTTACGCGACGACCATGAATCCATAATCTTCCCGTAAAGAAAAAAACGGTGTATTTGAAGCGATAATTTACGAGAGACTCTCAAGCCTTCTCGCTTCTAACCATAAATTTTCCCAGAACGAAATAATCTAATAAATACCAACGGTAAAGGAGATGTAGGTAAACGCAGATGCGATACGAAGAGCTGGAAATCGTAAATTCCTCATCCGACGACAGATTCCGGACGTTTTGACGTGGCTTTAATACAAAGAGAACATGTAATTTCATATTTCGAAAAAATCCAATCCACCTTCTTTTATTAAGTCGTCTTCTTCTAAGGATCAGACCCAGTAAGCAATTAATCACCCGGAACTAATGCAAAACCAATCCTTCCGCGTATAACTCGTAGACATTTCGCCCTCGACTTGTTAGTTATAAGTAAGATGGATTATCTAACTAAGTTCTCCCTCTTTTGAAAAGAGGAGTCATCTCGCGACTCCCGTCTGCAATTCCGAATGACATCTCCGAGCGGCAATTCTGGGAAACGCGAGGGCCCTGTTTTGGTACGAAGCCAGGTTCATAACTGGAACGATGACGTCTCCGGAGAGTCAAGAGAGGCGACAAAAAAGCCACTCCACACGACGAGGTAACATTTACCAGGTGAAAAAGTGACTCTATTATTCCCATAAGCACACTCGGTCGCTATTGCGTCCTCTTTTTTTTTCCTTACCGCAACTCCCACTTGCGAAATTTACCATGTAGACAAACTCGCGGCCGCGTAACAATACTACCCTAAATTTAATTAAGCCCGAATCACTTTTGGGTCTTTTATTTCGCGCCTCTCTTTCAGTGTCTTTTTCCGAGACTGATTTCCCCAGGTGATCGGTGCGTATCCTTTATTAATCTTCCAAGGGAATACTACAACCCAACATTCCCTCTATTTTGTATCACTTTTCCACCATTTCCTCAAAATGTATTTCTTAAAACAACATCTTTAATTCAACAAAAAAATATACAAAGAAATTTATACAATGGTTCATCAATGTAGACCAAGTGATTCATGACAAACCACTTCAGCGGCTAGGTAGACCGCACGTGCACGTTGAGTCGCGACCTCTACGGGCCATTGTCCCTAATTAAACAGCCTTTACGACTACCGCAGTGTACGTGAAATGATACTGTGCAAACCGGAGGTAACTTTGGCCAAGTCCGTGGTCGAAGAGGTTGAGTGCATTCTCCTTGAAACCGCGGAAGTTTCAGGCTGCGATTATTGACCTGAAGCGCGCCCTCTACACCCCATTCGTTAATAATTTATGAACTGTATTTGCAATGGGAAACAATAAGTGGTTGGAAAAAATTGTTGGAAAACATAAAATAGCGTGTAAAAGGTGAAACAAGTTCAATCTTATTTCATTTTTGTTCCGAGCATTAAGTTTGCGTATTTCTAGAAGTTTTGGAGAAATCCGGGTAGGGGCGAGCATTATGTAAAGTTTGCCACGTAACTTTTGCTGTTGGAGATAGCATTTCCGATTTCACGTTTTGTAACGGTTGCGTTCGTTTCCAAATTTTAAACTTCTAAAAGCACTAATACGACCATCAAAAAATGCTCTACCATTAGCGGACGTAATCTGACGCATTTTGCTCGCTAATGGACGTGCGCGTACCGATGGAGTGGGTTCAATCGAGGTTTTGGACGGCCGAGAGTTCAAATTGTCAAAACTTCGTGGTGATATTCGTACCAGGTACCGAGGGAAATAGTTAGCTACTAAATAGACAATGTGATCGCTAGGAAGCATCAATTTCGAGCTTCCGTGATGAGTTGTCGTTACGCTTTTTGACTGTTTATGGACGATAAATCAAGAATATTTAGGAGACAACCTGTAGTGCTCGGCGCATCCACCAATTTTGTGTTTTCGTGTCGTTCTCTCGTTAAATTAAAAACGTGAATAATGATTAAGTAATAAATATTTAAATCTTTTAATTATATATAACAAATTTAATTTGATATTAATTTATGATATAAAATAAAAGATTTCAACTTACCTAAATGTGAGTGTAGTTAAAGGTCGATAGGATTTGTGACTAGAAATATCAGCCATGGGCGTTCCCCAGAAGTCATTCTTGAAGACTTGTCCGATGGGATTCAAGGCGAGGACGTCCTTGTTCATAGTCACAGCTGGAATATCGTCGTGGACGAAGTCGCCATTCAAACCGTTAAGGTAACACGCGATGGCCACGGTGCTGACCAAACTATACATGGGCCAAGTGGAAGGAGAAGATTTCCCGGAGGATCCTTGTGATTCACAGTGGGATGGAATGATGTTTGCACTCCGTCGCTTCATTTCGAAATCGTTGGGCGACACTCAAGACCGTTTTTCAGCTAAAAATCCACTATCGGTTACGTTACGATGTCGTATCAAGAGAACTTTTGAAAAACTGGCTCGGCATCGTGCTATATTTTCCAGCTTTACGACGAAGTCGTCCTATAAATTTTTACAACGAGCCCGTCCACAAATTTCATCAAAGCTACTGAGCTCGACCATCCTATGATTGAATTTGTTCCCCAACCATTGTGAAAACTCTGAAAACAAAGAAGAGAATATTTACATTCTCGTGGACACAGCTGCGCATAACAACATTAACTTCGTAATGAAAAATAGCGTTGTCCCCGTGATAAATTTCTAAACGCATCAAATCCACGCGCAAACAGTTGTATATAATACGTACCTCGGTACTTGATGGTATACAATACCTAAATTTACGATAACCGCCCTCCAACCTAATATTTGCGCTGATAAAATAGCTACCGCGTAAATTCCCGTTTCGGTTTGTAGAGCGGAAACTCTTAAATTAACGTTGATTAAAATTCCTATTGGCACAATGGAGGTACGTTACCTGCCTTTCTACTATCCCAAGAGATTAATACGTCACGGGGATCTAAAGGGGTCACGCAACGCTTTAGAACCTAGATATATTCTACGATACAACAACTTTCGACGTTTCGAAAATTTATTTGAAACTTTATCGTAAATAAAAATACATAGTATATTCTCGTATATATACAAATTTGAAGTTGTTGTTGTACTAGGTATTAGCTTATACAATAAACCATACTGACCAAATAAGGACTAGATGCAATAATAGGTAATCATTGGGTATCATTGTATAACATAATCAAAAGAAATATTGTATTTGTTCTTGTCTTAACAGTAACATTTTGGTATAAATCATTGAATAATTATTTGGAACTGTCTTTTACGCCAATTTGCGATATGACACAATTCTGTTTAGTATCATCCCTCATAATTCCTGTGTCTCTAATTTATGCTTCTACCTGGACAAACAGCAGTGCACTGTGACTGATGGAGCGAGGTTGAGCTTCAAATCCAATCAAGCTTTGAACTGTACATAATGAGTATGAATTAAATCCCTCATTAGTTAATTAAAGGGATTGAATATTTTATTGAAAGGTACCTAATTAACCACTGTTCTTTATAACATGGTAAAAATGAATTACTTAATTTTAGGCAGATACTTGATTGACAAAAATCTAATGAAAACTGTTTTGATTCATCAAATCGAAGTTCAATAGCCTTAATGTAATCCCACTAATAGTGTTCGGTTTCCAATTAATCGAACATGTGATGATTGGCTTAGCACGTATCAATTCTCAAGCTCTACATCAATTAATAGCTCAACTTAATTTGGTTTTATAGTGGGAAAATTTTAATATCCCTTGGAATCCATGGTCATTATTTTGCAGGGTTATTTATAGAACAATAAAGAAACAGTTGAAAAGCTTCAAGATCCCAAGTGAAAAATGGTCGCCTTTTCCCACGAAGCGTGATTCCTTGACGCCTGATAAATAGCACAGGGTGGCACTTTGTCCGACGTTGTATTGAAAACCTTCCGTAAACGATGACTATCCGTTATTTGCTCTGGCGCGGCGGTGCTTTTAACTGTATTAAACCCAACAGGAGTGGCAGTACATCAAAGGACGATTAGGATCCATAGAAACGGCAAGGAGGAATATAGGTTTCCAAAGATGTTAGTGATATCTCGACATCGATCGGTCGTTCGCATCCTGTGTTCCAACTATGACGTCTATGACGCCGTCATAAAGTAATACGTCCCATTAACGACAATCATTACCGGCTAAGCGACCGTTCGCAACAATGGCGGACCAATTGGAAAATGATTTATAACTCCAGTAACAATTTGTAGTAGCCTGGAGCTAATAACCGCAATTAATGTCCCTGATTAATGGCCCTCTATAAATGACAATGCGCCTTCTGTTCCGATAGAAGGAGGGCGCGTTTCGTTGTGGGGCAAAACAATAACTGTCGCTGCAGGCCCAATAAGCGGCAAAAGGACGAATCGAATGGATTCACGAAGCGTCTCTAATATTACGACAACGGATCGTGAAGGCGCGATTTTTCAAAGATATACGGTTTCATATAAACCAATTATATCCAGGGACAAATTCGATACAAAACTGTAATGGAATCTATATTTTCCGCCTGAACAGTTTTCATATCGCCTTAATAAGATTGCATTTCAACTTGAACTAAAAATAACTGATATAATTGTGTTATCGTCGTTAAAAATTTTAGAATAAAAAATTGTAGAACGATCGCGTTTGTCATCCCAAAGTATACTCCTTTAAAGAGACGAGGCCTTATTATCGAAAGCCAGCGTTAAAAGCCGCTGACGCCGGCATAATCACGATCCGCCCATTATCTAGATAAAATATGGCCACTCGGGCAAAAAAGGGCGCATAAGGTACGTGCCTTCGCTCGGATTTCCTCGTGCGGGCCACGCTCGCAAAGAAAATAACAGAGTAGAAAATCCTTAACAAGAGCAAGGGGCTTCTTTTCAAAAAGAGCGCCTTGCAAATAAACTAGGAAACGTTTTGGGGATAAACCCATTTAATTCCGCTGCAATTTTATGATTGCCGTATTCATGTTCGTTTCTCTGTTAAAACGTGTCGACGTCATCTTCTACCGTGTAGGAAAATGTAGGATCGGTTGGATTTTTCAGTCCGAAGAGCAATAACCATCCGCAGGGTTATCTAAAAAGATGTACTGGGTTCGCAGTTTGAAAGGCGAGCAGCAGTGCACCGATTCGAGCGCTGATGTTCCTACAGACAGCCCCTAACACAGCAGGAGGAGTAAGACAGTTCGATATCTTTGAATAACTTCCCGTCCGGTTGATAGCAGATGTTCAGGAAACGCGGGCTCCTTTTTATTGCCGCTGGCTCCCGCATTTATATGTCCTGTCTACCCCAGAAAGGCCCCTCTTTTTCTATCCACCAACAGAAGGATTACGTCAGCGGTACATGTGGCGGAATTCTTGATGATTAATCGACCTCGCACCAAAGATAAAACAGCCTCGACTAGACATAGTGGGATGATTAATTTTCCAGTGGACGTGGAACTTCGTCAACCAACGACAAATTATTTAATGCCAACTGATGATATTTTAAACTCTTCGTGAAACACAACATTCAATTTTTTTAATGATTTATGTTTAAACCAATTAAAATTTATAACGTATATATACACATTGAATCCTTTGATATTAACTATAACTCTGAAATTTGATTCGTTGCTTTGACGTGTTTCTGGTTTACAACGGAAGGCAATTATTTGTATTTAGACTTGTAATAATCTACCTCTACACGTTAAAGAAGCCAGACAAGCTTTGAAATATTATACCCTGGAAACGAAGGGATTCCTGCAAAGTTCCCGAGTACTAGTTTCGCTCGTTTTGTTTATTCGCGAGGTTCTGCGCGTCTGAGCGTACAGTGGAGCATAAATTAGGTCGGGTTGGGACAGGCAATAACGGCCCAGCTAGGGCGAATGTATGTTTTATTGAAAGACCTTATGGCGCACGGGATATGTGTATGATTTTATTTCAGGGGGGGCGCTATGAATAATAAAATACCTATCAATACGTATCCGGCCCGCGGGCAGACGTCCTGCTACATTGGGCCGTCTGCCAAAGTGCGGATTTTACGCTCCTACGATTCTAAAAGACTCCCCCCTTTACCTCCTAGACAGGATAGAAGTTCTAACGTGGATTTACCTCTAAATGCGGTCGCTCCAGGTCACGAACAAGAAGGGTTTATCTTGGGCTTGCAGTAAAGTTATCAGCTTCAACTTTTTTTTAATAAATTTTTTTGATTCATTTCGAAAAGAATAGACTTTAATAACTCTTTCTCTGCTGTCTCTCAATTTTTCGATATTTCAAAGAGTTTCGATAAACAATAGAACTTGATAGATTGATGGAGAAAATAGCAAATAAAGCTGCGTATGAAAATGTGTCCGGAACTGGAATCAGCGATAGCTAGCGTCCATTACCGTTTCAAAATTCTCTAATTCCACTATTCGCTTAATTGAATGCACCAACGAAACTATTGAAAATCGATCTGGTGCTGTAACAAAAGTCACTGACGAAAAATTCCATCAACGATTTTCGGTTGCAGCTTTTATTTTTAGGCGTTGGAAGCGTTTATCCTCACTATGGTATTTTGAAATTATGTATTCAAACGTTTAATCTCTTTGTACCGGACGAGTCGGATGTAAAAACAGAGATAATCACAACAGGAAAAAAGGAAAATACCCACCCAGAAACCCTAGGGCGTAATAAAACATGATAGATCGCTCGATCCGAACCAATTATTGCGCGAGTAAAGCCCGCTTTTGCGATTAAATCTGATAAATGGTCTTAAGAAAATAGGGGGCCCAGTAAGCCTTATTGATTAATCGCGAACGATGCTTCAATACTTAAACAAGGATCAACTCATTAATAACTTTGTTAACACCTTCATTCATCACAATTCCATTTTGTTTTCGTTCTTTTATTTAGTCAGAAAAATTTTAAAAATATTCGCTTTTTTATGTTCTTTTAAACTAAAGTTCTTTATCATAAGTTATTAAGTTTCCTATTCACAGCTCACCAAAATACCATGGCGTTTGTAAATTTCTTTTCATTCCGCTGCGTCCAGCGAACGACGGGGTCATAATGGCATTAATAAAACTTTCTTGGACTCGCCGTCGACGTGGAATGAAGATTAAACGGTCTTCTACATGCAAACATCAATCCTATTACCGTTCAGCTGGGGACAATATTTTTTCTCTCTTTTTAGAGTCCATAGCAGTTCCGATTACGAAACGAAGTCCATCCCTTTGTCACAAACTCCAACTCGCTGTTTTCAAGACGAAATAATCCTATTATTGAATTTGAAGAGTTTCACCTGTTTTCGTTGAAGGAAGCAGTGCGAGACCGGGTGTAATCGTTCGCAAACTGTAAGCAGGATTTAATGGATACTAGAATGTTTGGAAACAATGATTTATAAACACTGGGGGGATTATTGTTGTAAGTATTCAATGGAAAGAAAAGACTTTAGAACTTCAAATTTGTACGCAATCAATCTCATGCTAATTGCACCTGCCGCAGGAGTTTCGTGCACCCCTTGTATTTCAACGATAAGCACGGAATATTTCCTTGTTTTAGTACGTATTTCTTGATTTATACGTCGCTTGCATGCCGACATTATGCTCAATAGTAAACACCGGA